GTCCTGCACCTGCAGAGGAACAAGAAAATGGAGCCAGGCTCTTTTCAGTGCCAGGTCCAGAGGCAATGGGAACAAAATGAAAGGCAGAAGGTTCCCTTTGAACATCAGGAAACATCTTTTTCTTGTGAGGGCCAGCACAGATTGGTCAGGGAGGCTGCGGAATCTCCATCTTTGGAGGTACTAAAAAAAGTCTGGACATGGTCTGGGACAATTGGTTCTGGTGGACTTGCCTGAGCAGGGGGGTTGAACCAGGTACCCTCCAGAGGTCCCTTCCAACCTAAACCATTCTGTGACACTGTCTAAAAGCAGTAATAGGTTATTTCCCTTATAGAATCTTTCAACCAGCCTAAGAAACAGCAGTGAAGTCAGGTTATCTTGTCACATTTTTGGAAACTGTAGGAGGAAGAATGGGATCTATACATTGGCTCCTGTTTTAGTGATTGGAAGTCAGCATCACATGCAGTTGGGATAAGGAGAAACAGGATTGCCAGGTTTTATTGCTAGATCCCATGCTGCTTTTATGGGTAGAATAGTTTAATCCCTCTGTATTTTACTTAATCCATGTGAATAGTGAGAACAGATTGTACTCCCTTACATAATTACCACTGGATAAGGTATGTCATTTAATGACCTTAACATGTTTTGAGATCATTATGTGAAAGACACCACACACAGGGTAACATCAGTTATTGAAATGGATATACCAGCAAGAGAAAGGCTCATGTCCTAATCTAGGAATGTATCCTAAACCATGAACACAGGGCGTGAAAGGAATTTGGATATACCCACAAGAAGATTAAGACACACATGAGGCTGAATGTTGGTAACCAAAATGATAATTCACTTTTATTTAAGACCAAGGAAGACAGGAAGGAGGAAAGATAGAAAAGTAGGAAAAAGCAAAGAATTAGAGAAAGCAAGAAAGGATCCCATGGCCCCTTATCACACCAGGTCCTCACCTGCACATTGTATCCACAGTGCCTGGGCTCTGGTGGTTTGCGCTGTCGGCAGCTCAGGTGTGAGAAGCTGCGATCTGCTCCTTTTGTTTTCTAAGTGCCGCAGTTCACTCTGACAGACCCAAGCAGTGGTAAAATGGGTTGTTTTATAGCGGTTCCACAATTAAAGACCAAATTAACATGTGGCTTAATATGTGAAATTGCTTTACATAAATATTACTAGTTAAATATAGCCCATAGAAACGCGTGTGCTGCATATATGAATATTAACAAATGCAGAGCCTATTTAAAAAAGTCACAGGCGGCCTCCAAACCTCAAAACAAAAATCTGAGTCAAAGCATAATTGTGTGTAAGCTCAAAACTCTGTCATTAGTGTTAGCTGTCTTCATTAAAGCAGTCTTCCTCCTTCAGTCACTTTAAGCCATGTATCCTTCCTTCTCTGACCAGATATCAGCACTACTTTGAAATAAATATTTGGGTATTAAATCATTACAGCTCTTTTGTTGTTTAAATCACAATGTTTAGCCAGCAAGGCAGTTAAGTTTAAAAGCACTCAGCCAAGGACAAATTCTAGCTGTGGAAATGGAAAATAAGTGGTCATGTTTGAAGAGAATGGCAACACTACAGCAAGAGGCCTCCAGTGTTTGACGACTTGAAGAGAACCAGGCACTTTGGTGGGGGAGAGGGGGCATTTGCCACAGAAAGGACAAACCTAAGAACCCGCATGAAGTGCAGGAGGAAGTGCATGAAAGGGGATTTTTGAAGCTCCGTCTGAAATACTGCAGCTAAAACTTCTAGAAATGTTCCATCATAAAGTCAATTTCAATCACAGATGTAAATGATTGACATTGTGTACTAAATTGCTATCAGTGTAATCTTTACTTTTTGATATTTTCTCCTGTAAGAATTTGGTTGCTGTTCTTTAAGAGAAACAATTTGATGTGATTTGGAAGACTAAGCCTCAAAGCAGGTAGTGTGCAGCTAGGTGTATTTCAGAGTGGAGCTATTTTCAACTGGACAGTAAAAATGAGAGATATGCAAGTCTGAAAGAGAAATCTGGTATCTTAATATGCTTCTCTCTTTCAGAATAACTGTCCTAATATTGCTCTTGAAATAAGATTTTGGTTTGCAGTTTTGAAAAAACCAAAAGGTAATAACTGAGTTTTTGACACTCTGTCACACCCCTTCAAATATTTATCCCTAACCTAAGGATTTCTGCTGGAATAGCAAACCCAAAAGTATTCCATTTTCTTAACTCTTGGCAAAACTATTTGCTACACAACAGGAAATGGAGATTGATCAAGTGGCTCCACACACAGAGAAGGCATCAGTTAGACAGCAACTGAACCATAATGAGTCTCTTCTACTCTTTTCTCTAGTTCTACAGTCTTTTGGTAATCCTCTTCAAAACATTACGCAGCAGTTAAGATAGCAATGCTTTTATCTATCCCCCTATGAACTAAAAGGAGGAAACAGCCCTGCAGCCAAAGCAGAGGAGACAAGAAGTGAGGTTAGCATTTAATATTGAGGTGAACACTTCAAAAATTCCTAACTCTTTGACCTCATTATGTTTTTACACAGTTTCTGTAATAACAGTCTCCAAGAGCAGCTATGACATGTGCCAGTCTGGAACTACAGAAAAATAATGAAATAGAAGGCTTTTGGTCTAAGTAGGCTACATCTAGATAATTGCAGTGTTATTAAATACTACAAACTTTTTCAAAGTCCATGTGTAGAAGTTTACTGGCTAGGCACAAATGCACTTTTTTCCACTTTCAGCTCATTCTTTTATGAAGCAATGAATATTTAACTACCTTTAGTTAGTTATTTTATTTTTTTCACAAAGCTGAAATGAAATCTTGATTCAAGCTGCAACAATTCCTACATGTTATAAGAAATTTTCTAAGCCATCTAAGATCTGTTAGCCATGAGGTAAGCCAATCCCACTAAGAAGTACTTTTAGTGTTCCCCTATTCCAGCACTGCTTTTTCAATTTATGATATTCCTGGCTCCTGAGCATCTATGCAAATTTCCCCTTTTGGGAAGGAGAGAGGTTTTCTCTCTCTGCTTCCATACATTACTTTAAATTACTTTAAATTGATGTCTGACACTGAATTGATCCTAAACAAATTCTAATAATGATTGTGAAAATTATATTACAGATTAAGGCCTCAAGTAGTGTAGGCAGCCCTTCAGTGACTAATTCCCAATTTCCTACAGAATTTGTTTAGTTGATTAGTCTCTGTAGCCTGTTATAATTCCTCGGGGAATTGTCTGGCTCACTGACTCAGTGATAGGTATACAGGTGGTGATGTTACTCAAATTGCACATTTTGCCGAGCTCTTGAACTAAATCTGGTACAACATTCCTGGTCTCCAGAGGAAGCTACATCCCTTTGAGCTACTATTCTACAAAGTATAGAAATATGATCTTTATTAACCTTTTCATTTCAGACAAACACTATCATAAACTCTATAACCATCAAAAAAATTCACTTGATCCCAAGTACAATTTATAGTGTTTTGTTTCAATCTTATCTGTAAAGGATTTGCTGTCTGCTGAACAGTCCAGTAAAGTGTTTCCTGGTTTGGGGCTAGCTTTGTCCAGGTGTAGGGAATCCAGAAGTCTCAGCCAACAGTTTTCACAGCCATGTGGGTAGTCAGGAGAACTTGGAATGGTCCTTTCCACTCTTCCTTAAGTGGTTCATCTTTCCACATGTGGACCTAATCCCTGGGTTGATGAGGATGTACCTGAATGTCCAAGGTTGTTGAGGACACAAAACAACAAACCTATGTAAAACTGAGAGCTCTTTTCACAAAGATAATAAATACTCTTTAAAATTACTAATTCCTATCACATGGCTTTCTCCTGCGATAGTTTGATACAGCCTGCCTTAAATAATATCATAAGGACGTTCATAAGATCTTTCTTTAGATCTAGGCTGTATTCTAATTCTTAATAAAGCTAAAGGAAAAGCCTGAGGCCATCTTAGTGAAGTTTCTTGACAAATCTTACTTATTTGCCATTTCAGATTTCAGTTCATCCTTTCTACTATTCCACGGGAATGAGATCTCTAAGGAGTGTGGATATTCCATGTAATTCCCAAGCACTTTGCATAAACTTTGAACTGTTTCAACCACAGAATGAAATCCTCTGTCTGAAGACAGGCCCAATGGTACCCCAAATCTGGGTATAATTTCCTTTAAAAAAATTTCTGTTACTTCTTGAGTTTTGTTGGTGTGACAGACAAAGGCTTCTGGCCATCCAGAAAGGCTATCTACCAAGAACAGTATCAATAACCATCTTCCCAGGGTAGTTCTAAAATATAAGTCTTGGTTTGAGACAGTTTAAAGAAGTGGACACTCTAAAATGAGTTACCTCCCCTTCGTTCCATCCAGTCCCTTTCCACCAATAAGGAACAAATACAAGTAGATGTAAGTGAATAGATAACAATTTATTGACAAGTGAAACAGCAACAGGCAAAAAATAACAGTAAATAATCACTAGATAGTGATCACTAGATACAAAATTGCTAAATATCACAAATCTCATGGGAACAAAGAGACACCTGAAGTGGTGGAAATGCCTGCAGGGTGACCCAGCCTTAGGGATTGACTCACTTTGCAAATGTCACTCCAAAACAGTTTTTGATAGTGTATGGAAAATCACGGTGCCAAAGGCTGGTGTCCACTGAGGACTCCTGCAAAAATCAACTTTATTTGAATAAATGGAGAGTCTAGTGGGCCATACCCCTGTGGGGTCTCTCAAGTTTTTGGAGGATCCAGCCTCCTTTTATCCTAAACTCCCTACTGCATGTTGCCCTCCTCCCTTCCCCATTGGCTGAAATACCAGGAATGTACAAACTTCCCAAACCACCTACTTACTACATATCTTCCTTCCAACATGTACCCCCACACCCATTCTTCTAGAATATGATTGGGGCTTTCAGGTTATCTAGTTACATGGTCTGATCTCTCCTACACCCTCTCTAGGAAAACCTGAAAATTTTTAACTTTTCACACATGACTATAGAACTAGGCTTGTTAGTTATGAACAGGGAAGGCTCTGAGTAGCTTACTGAGGTTAGAGATTTGCTGGATTGTCTCAAAGATTTCCATAGTCTTGGCTTGTTGTTGGATTGTGGCTTCCAGCTTTGCCATTTGAATTTGGAGCCTGAAAAAGAAGTATAGGCCTTGTGACAGAAGTCCACAAGAAAACAAATCACAAAGGAACCCCATGAAAGAACCTCATCTGAAACAAAAGCATCTTTGAAGATCATGTATTAGTATCTCACTGGGATGCAGGATGACAGTCCTGTTTTTTTCACAGAATCACACAAAGTGAAGCCTTGCTCCACTGTCTTACCGTTGAATGCGTTCTTCCAGCTGGGGGATAGCTGCAGCTGATGAATCAAAAGACTCAACCAGGCGGCCTTGCATGTTTCTCAAAATTGTTATTACCTTCTTCTCCTTTAGGGCATTCTTCCCTGACTCAGCATAATAATCATTCTTGTTAAGAAGTTCTTTTAGGTCCTTAAGCTGTCAAACCACAAGAACAATCCCCAGTAGAAAGCTTTCATATACTAAAAAAAGTAGAGTGCTTTGATGTTAACTTTCAAAACCTGTGTTACTTCTTCATCTTTAATAGTGGGCCCTCTCCTACACTGATTTCCTAGAGTGTTTCCTAAAGACTGGCACAACACTTCTCCTCTCCTCTCTCAAGTACTCTGAACACACTTTGTAGCCTGTTCTGATGTCACAGTTTACGAATGGTATTCCCCAAATTCAGGCTCCCACTGAGACTCTCCAAACCACACTTCTGCTCCCTTACTCCCTCCTTCCCTTCTCCCTCACCCGTGTGACAGGAAGGAGAACTGGGGACACAAAAGGTAAAGGTAATGGGTTCAGTTCAGAACAATTTACTGGAAACAGCAATGAGATATGAAAACAGTAACAGCAACAATATTCATAAAGAAAAGTGTTCAAGAGAGCAGTAAGAGATTCATACGCAAAATGCTCAGAACTGGTGTTACCCAACCACCAACTCCCTGTGCCACACTTATTCCACACTAGGGAATAGATTCCCTTTCCTTTCCCCTTCCCCATGCACTGCACCTGCTCCTGCCCCCTGCCCGCCTCCTCCACCCTCTGTCCTCCAGTTGTCCAGAACAATCTCAGGGCCCCAGCCATGCCCCCTCCTGGCTACCACAAAAATCAACCCTGTCCTGGCCTGAACCAGGACAGTTGACTATTCCAACACAATCAGAAACTTCTCCTATTCCTAAAGTGACTTTACAACTCCATAAAAATGGTGATGGGGGGAAGAAATACTACAAAACATCAGCATAAAACACCAACAGGCCTACTCTTTCTCTGTCAACACAGTCCACTTTGCCAAACCATAGAGAAGAAGCAAATACTGTGTGCTCCATGAAGCTTGGGAAGCAGCTTTTTGAAAGGAATACACAGGGCCTTCTCCAATTAAGGACAAAGTTACATCACAACTAGTGATTTTTTTAATTGTAGTCACCAGACTTATCAGTCACATCAGTTATGTGTCATTCAACTTACTCCTGTGACAAAGTTGTGTAGTGTACTAAGAACAGCTTAGTGGTGTCAACAGGGAAACATCAAAGGCAACAGTGCTGTTTCTTCCCCTGAACCGCCCCATGTTACACAAACGTCTTAAGGAATGAAGTTCCCTGCTGTTTACTACAAAGAAGGCTTGGATCAGAAGACCTGCCAAGAAATAGGTATTTTCCATACCTTAGTTTTACACTTCTCCAGTTTCTCCAACAGTAGCTTCTGTTCCCTCCTGCTGTTGGTCTTCACAGTTCCAAGTGGAGCTCCTTCCAGGGAATTCTTTTTGAGAATTTTGTCAAGCTTCTGCCTGGCCAATGGCTAAGGAAATGGTTTTTCATGAGCATGACAAAATCAGTGCAAACATGACAACAAAAGCAATGCTTTTACTGATGAAATTACATCATTAGATCAGTCTACAGGTTGAGGGAGAAGTTGGCCAGCAGGGAAGCAATTCTCCCTTTCTATTCTGCTCTTGTGAGACTCCACCTAAAGTAGTGTATCTCCCTCTGCAGCCCCCAGCACAAGGCAGACATGGACCTGATGAAAAGAGGCCAGAGGAGGGCCACAAAGACATTCATAGGGCTGGAACGCCTCTCTCATGGAAAAAAGGCTGAGGAATTTGGGATTGTTCAGTTTGAGAAAAAGCAGGCTCTGGGCAGATTTTATTGCAGCCTTTTAACATAAAAAGAAGGAGAGATCATTTTAACAAGAATTGTAGTGACAGGTCAAGGGCAACAGTTTAAAATGAAAAGACAGTAGATTTAGATTTGATATAAGGAGGAAAATTTTCCATGTATTGTGATGGAGCACTGGACAAGATTGTCCAGAGTTGTGCTCATCCCTGGAGGTGTTCAAAATGAAGCTGAATGGGAATTTTTGCAGCCCTTCTGCTTCAAATAAATATGAAATTAAGTTCAAAATACAACTCAAGTCCAGATCAATTACCTTTTTTCAGCACTATTTCAAAATGAACTCACTATCAAGAACACATATGCTTACACTGATAAGTTCTATCTAGAGATACCTGCATTTGTCTCTAAGAGTCACCTGTTTGTCCTGCTCAGAATCTGTTTGAGTTGAAGAATCAACCTTTAGCTGAAGATCTTCTCCCTGCAATGTAGGAAGCTAAGCAAGCAAGAAAAAAGAGAAATCCTCAGCAGGACTGTAGCATCCCACTGCCTTCAAGAAGAGAGCATGAAGAAATGTGACTTCTGCCAAAGGTAGTGTAAGAGCTCAGAAAGAGAGCTATGTACCTTATTCTCAGAAGAGGAGATAAGATGTTCCTTCTGTTCTGCTCTTGCAGCTGGTAATAGAGAGAAAAAATAAGATAAGAGTGTTGCTGCTGTGAGTGCTTCTTTCACTTTGCTTTTCCAAAACTGATTCACTCCAGAGAGGCCTACAAAGGTAAACATGTAGTCCCTCTGAAATTACCTTTGCTGAGCTCAACTGCAGCAGAGCTCACACCCACTCTGTTTTGGTCTGCAGCAGGAAGCTGCACATCAGCCAACACTTTCCTTCGACCTTCAGAATCAGTCTGCATAATTTAAGACACATGTGAGAACTGGCACAGGCTGCTTCCACACCACCTTCCACCCTTAAAGCTTCTGCTTCAGCCAAGAGGTCTATCAAGAGAGGGATCAGGTAATGGAAAGAACAAAAAAAAAGGGCAAACACAGTCAGCATGTTCGGCATCTCTCTTGAGTAGATCTTTCAAAACAGGATGAAGTCCACCTGCCCAAACTTGAGAGAAGGCAGAAGAAATAGGTCTCTAAACTATGGGTCATCTGCAACCATTTGACATTGACTGGATCCACAAATGCCAGCCTTCTAGGGCTTCAGGGGACTGTAACCAGACGGAAGTGTTACTTCTTTGTCTTAGAAATCCCATATGGATGTCAGCTGCAAGGAGGTCCAGGACTTTGTCCCAGTCCCATCTGAACAGCTTGTCTGAAGCAGCAGCATGTCAGGGTCCAAGTTACAAACATTTGGCATAAGCATCAGCAAAGGAAAATGAACCTAGAAGCAGGTGAGGCAGTGGGACCCCCACTGCCTCCCTCAGAGAAGGTACCTCAGAATCCCAGGGAAAATCATTATCTTCCTGTTTTGCTTCTCCCCCTGCTGGCTGCAAGACTCTGTCTTCATTTTTTGCTTCTCTCCATGCTTGTTTCAAGACCCCTAAGAAAAGGTAAGCGTGTAACAGCTATGAGTGTTTATTTTACTCTGCTGTTCTGCACCTGATTCACTCCAGAGAGGCTTACAAAGGTAACCACTTAGCTCCTCTGAAGTTACCTTTGCCGCGTTCCACTGCAGCAGAGCATGCATCCAACCTGCTGGTGTTTGCAGCAGGAAGCTGGACAGCAGCCAACACTTCCCCTTCACCTTCAGAATCAGTCTGCGTAATTTAAAAGACATACGTGAGAATGGGCACAGGCTGCTTCTCCACCCATTTCCACATTCAAAGGCTGTGCTACAGCCAAGAGGCTTAACAAGAGGGATTAGGTGATGGAAAGAACAAAAAGGGCAAACACAGCAAGTGCATTCAGCATCTCTGTTGTGCAGGGTTTTCAAAACGGGACCAAGTACATCTGCCCATGCCACAGAGAATGTAGGCAAAAGAAATAAATCTGTAGACTGTAGGTCATATGGGAACCCAGTTGACATTAACTGCATATACAGAAGAGAGATGCTTGATGGAAAAATGAATCCTCACAATTCCAATCCTGCACAGTTTTCACAGGACTGTAACAAACACAGAGGTTTACTACATAATCCTTACTGCAAATCTAGTTTGGACATCAGCCACAAGGAGGCCAAGGATATTAGCTTGACCTCACTTTGTCCTAATCCCATCTGAACAGCGTGTCTGCAGCAGCAGAATGTCAAGGTCTAAGATATGAGTGTGTGGCAGAAGCAGCATCAAAGGAAAATGAGCCCAGAAGCCAGCGAGTGAGAGGGACCTCACTGTCTCCTTCAGAAAAGGTACCTCAGAATCCCAAGAAGAATCATCATCTCCTGCTCCTCCTGCTGGTTGCAAGACCCCTAAGAACAGGTAAGAGGCTTGTCATAGCTCTGAGTGCTTGTGTCACTCTCCTTTTCCAAATCTGATTCACTTCACTGAGGCTTACAAAGGTAACCATGTAGTCCTTTTGGAATTACCTTTGCTGTACTCTGCAGCACCAGAGCGCACACCCACTCCTTTGTGGTCTGCAGCAGGACGCCGCTTGCTGGCAAACACTTCTTCTACAATTTTAGAAAAAGGCTGCATAATTTAAAAGACACACATAAGAACTGGCACAGGTGGCTTCTGCACCCACTTCTATGTTCAAAGCTTCTGCTTCAGCCAAGGCGCCTAAGGAGAGGGATAAGATGATGAAAAGAACAAAAAGGGCAGACAAAACCAATTCATTCATCACTGTTGTTAAGCAGCAATTTTAAAATGAGACAAAGTCCACCTGCCCAAGCTTGAGAGAACCTAGGCAGAAGAAATAAATCCTTAAATTGTCGGTCATACACAACCATTTGACATTGACAAATCACAAAAAAGATCTGTAAAGAGGAAAAAAGTAATTCTCACAATTCCAGCCTTCTAGGATTTCAGAGGACTGTAACCAAAAGGAAGTGTTACTTCTTTGTCCTAGAAATCCAGCTTGGGGATCAGCCACAGGGAGACATATGACATTAGTTGGACCTCACTTTTTCCCAGTACTAACTGAAGAGATTATCTGAAGCAGTAGAATGTCAAGGTCCAAGTAAGGAGGCTGTGGCAGAAGCAGCATCAGAGTAGAACGAGCCCAGAAGTAGGTGAGCCAGAGGGACCCCACTGCCTTCCTCAAAGAAGGTACCTCAGATCCCCAGGAGGAATCACTGTCTTCCTTTTTCACTTCTGCTGCTGCTGCTGCTGGCAAGACACCTAAGAAAGACAAGGAGCGTGTCATTTCTGTGAGTGCTTATTTCACTCTGCTTTTCTCCACCTGCTTTCACTCCAGAGAGGCTTACAAAGGTAAGGTAACCACTTAGTCCCTCTGAAATTACCTTTGCTGTGCCCCACTGCAGCAGGGCGTGCATCCAACCTGCTGCTGTTTGTAGCAGGAAGCCCCACACTAGCCTGCATTTTCTCTGGACCTTTAGGATCAGTCTGTAATTTAAGAGACACACGTGAGAACTGGCACAGGCTGCTTCCACACCTGCTTCCCTGCTCAAAAGTTCTTCTGCCAATAGGCCTAAGGAGAGAGATCAGGGGATGAAAGAACCAAAGGAGCCAATACAGTGAGCACATTCAGCATTCTGTTGAGCAGGGTTTTCAAAATATGATTAAGGACACCTCCCTGAGCTAGAGAGAACCTAGGCAGAAGAAATTATTATCTGAAGTGTAGGTCATATGGGAACTGTTTGACATTGACCGCACCTAGAGAAGTGAGAGGAACCAATCTGATTTTTATTAATGCCTGAGCATATGTTATACATGAGGTGAAAAACAACTTCAGGGGTTGTACACTTGCTGGGAGCCCTGTCTCTGGTGAGCCTTCACCTGGCAGCTGACCAGGAGAAAGAAAACTTTTGTGACTGGGCTGCAAGAGATCCCCTCCCCCCACACTAGCCAGTGGGGCAGATCCCTGGATGCCCAGGAAAAATGCCTGGGAAATTGGGCCATGGGATGAGCCTGAGCACACAACAGTAGTGAACTTCGGTAGGAGCACTTATCTTCATCAATAAACAGTTCCCAAATATAATATTGTTGCACTTGTATTTTCGTTTGAGAAATCTATCAAAAAGAATCCTCTCCAACTCTCCTTTTACAACAGGATGGGACAAGGAGTAATCTGAGTGATGGAGAAACAGAAGTCCTCAAAACGCCAGCCTTTCACTGGTTTCAGAGGAGCTTTACTGCTCTGTGCTATTCTAGAAATCTAACTTGGACATCAGCCACATGGAGCTCAGGACATTAGCTGGATCTCACTTTGTCCCAGTACTAACTGAACAGATTATCTGAAGCAGTGGCTGGTTAAGGTCCAAGTTACAAGTGTGTAGCAGAGGCAGCAGCAAATGAAAATGAGTCCAGAATCCAGTGAGTGAGAGGGACCTCAGTGTCCCTCAGAAAAGGTACCTCAGAATCCCAGGGAGAATCGGTGTCTTCCTTTTTCACTGCTCCTCCTGCTGGTTGCAAAACCCCTAAGAACACATAAGAAGCTCATCATGGATCTTAGAGTGCTTGTTTCACTCTCCTTTTCCAAATCTTTTTTACTCCAGAGAAACTTACTAACGTAACCATTTAGTGCCTCTGAAATTACCTTTGCCACACTCCTCAGCAGCAGAGCGCACACCCACTCTACGGCATTTTCCAGCAGGATGCTGCACGGGGTTAATCACTTTCTCTCTAAGATCACTGAGATGCTGTGTAATTTAAAAGACACACATGAGAACTGGAACAGGCTCCTTGTGTACACACTTGCACACACAAAGCTTCTGCTTCAGCCAAGAGGCCTAGCAAGAGAGGGATCAGGTAATGGAAAGAACAAAAGGATCAAACACAGCCAATGCATTCAGCATCTCTCTTGAACAGATTTTTAAAACAGGATAAAGTCCACCTGCTGAAGCTCAAGAGAACTTAGGCAGAAGATATAAAGATCTAAAGTGTGGGTCATACACAACAATTTGACATTGATGATTCACAGAAGAGATTTGTGAGGAGGAAAAGATCAGTTCTCACAATATCAGACTTCTAGGACATCAGAGGACTGTAACCAGAAGGAAGTGTTACTTCTTTGTCTTAGAAATCCAGCTTGGAGGTCTCCCCCAAGGAGACACACGGCCTTAGTTGGTGAGCAGAGCTCTCAAAACAAGACAAAGTCTACCTGCCCAAGCTAGCAACAACCTAGGCAGAAGAAATAAATCTCTAAACTCTAGGTCAACAGGAATTGTTTGACATTGACTGCATTCAGGGAAGAGAGCTGTGTGATGGAAAAACAGCAGTCCTCACAATGTCATCTTTCACAGATTTCAGACTACTGTAACCAACAGGAAGCTTTACCACTCTAGTAGAAGTCCTGCTTGGATGCCAGCCTCAAGGAGGCCCAGGACATCAGCTGGACCTCCTTTTGTCCCAGCCCTCACTGAAAAGATTATCTGAAGAAGCTGGTTGTCAAGATCCAAGTTACAAGTGTGTGGTAGAAAAAGAATCAAAGAAAAATGAGCAGAAAATCCAGTGAGCCAGAGGGGCCTCCATGCCTCCCTCAGAGAAGGTACCTTAGGATTGCAGAGGGAGTCACTGTCTTTCTCTTTTGCTGCTCCTGCTGCTTGCGAGGTCCCTAACAAAAGATAAGAAGTGTGTCATTTCTATGAGTGCTTATTTCACTCTGCTGTTCTTCACCTGTTTCACTCCAGAGAGGCTTACAAAGGTAACCATTCAGTCCCTCTGAAATTACCTTTGATACTCTCCTTGGCAACAGCGGGCTCTGGAAACATTCTGCCAGCAGGAAGCAGCACAGTGGTTGCTAATTCATCTAGAACTTCAGTACTAGGCTGTGTAATTTAAAAGACACATGTGAGAACTGGCACAGGCTGCTTCCACACTCGCTTCCCTGCTCAAAAGTTCTTCTGCCAACAGACCTAAGGAGAGATCAGGGGACAAAAGAACAAAAAGGGCAAACACAGCAAGCATCTCATGTTTTTGGCATCTCTCTTGAGCTGATATTTCAAAACAGGACGAATTCCACCTGCCCAAGCTTGAGAGAACCTAGGCAGAAGAAATATGTGTATGTGGGTCATACACAACCATTTAACATTGGCTGGATCCACAAAAGAGAACTGTGAGGTGGAAAAAAGCAATTCTCACTATTCCAGCCTTCTAGGATTTCAGAGGACTGTAACCAAAAGGAAGTGTTACTTCTTTGTCCTAGAAATCCAGCTTGGGGATCACAGGGAGACATATGACATTAGTTGGACCTCACTTTTTCCCAGTACTAACTGAAGAGATTATCTGAAGCAGTAGCATGTCAAGGTCCAAGTAAGGAGGCTGTGGCAGAAGCAGCATCAAAGTAGAACAAGCCCAGAAGTAGGTGAGCCAGAGGGACCCCACTGCCTTCCTCAAAGAAGGTACCTCAGATCCCCAGGAGGAATCACTGTCTTCCTTTTTCACTTCTGCTGCTGCTGCTGCTGGCAAGACACCTAAGAAAGACAAGGAGCGTGTCATTTCTGTGAGTGCTTATTTCACTCTGCTTTTCTCCACCTGCTTTCACTCCAGAGAGGCTTACAAAGGTAACCACTTAGTCCCTCTGAAATTACCTTTGCTGTGCCCCACTGCAGCAGGGCGTGCATCCAACCTGCTGCTGTTTGTAGCAGGAAGCCCCACACTAGCCTGCATTTTCTCTGGACCTTTAGGATCAGTCTGTGTAATTTAAGAGACACACGTGAAAACATTCCTGCTCAAAGTTTCCGCTTCAGCCAACAGGCCTAAGGAGTGGGATCAGGTGATGGAAAGGACAGAAAGGGCAAGCAGAGTCAGTGTGTTTGGTATCACTTCTGAGCATCGTTTTCAAAACAGTAAAAAGTCCACCTTCTCAATCTGGAGAGAACCTAGGCAGAAGAAATAAATCTCCAGACTGTGGATCATATGTGAACCAGCTGATCCTGCATGCATCTAGAGAAGCAAGCTGTGATGAAAAAACAGCAATCCTCACAATACCAGCCTGTTAGTTTTCAGAGGACTGTAACCAAGAGTGAGCTTTACTCCTCTGTGCTATACTAGAAATCCCGCTTGAAGGCCAGCTGCAAGGAGGCCCAGGATATTAGCTCGACCTCATTTTCTCCCAGTCCCAAGTGAAAAGCTTGTCTGAAGCAGGGCATGTCAAGGTCTGAGTGTGTGACAGAAGCAGCAAAGGAAAACAAGCCCAGAATCCAGGGATTCATAGGAGACCCACTGCCTCCCTCAGAGAACACACTTCAGGATTGCAGAGGGAGAGATTTTCTTCCTTTTTCTCTGCTCCTTCTGCTTTGTAGTCTCCTAGCAAAAGACAAGAAGTGTGTCACTTCTGTGAATGCTCATTTCACTCTGCTGCTCCTCCCTGCTTTACTCCAGGGAGCCTTGCAAAGTTAACCATCTAGTCCCTCTGAAATTACCTCTGTAGGGCTGCACTGTAATAGATTGCACAGACACTTTATTTTTGCTTGCAGCTGGACCATTGTATTCCTTTTCTGCTGCTTCTTCTTTTGGCACATCACCTAAGAAATAAGATAAGAAGCACGTTGTTGACTTGAGTGTTTATTTTCCAGTCCTTTGGTCCATCCCTCCAGACCAGCATCCCATTGATTGAGTATACTTCTGCTACAGTGATTTTCCTCATCACCTCTTTGACAGCAAAGTATCTTACGTGACTCTGCCAATGCAGGTGTTTCCAAGGGAATGACAGGAGCTGTCTCATAGCAGGAGCTGCCAATTCGTTCATTAGCAATACTAAATATAGAAAGGAAGAAGGTGCATTAGGTAAAATCCCCCCCACATTTCCATGCACTGTCTGCAGGAAAACCAAAAGCTATGCATGTTGCATCCTATCCTTGTTCATAGACAAGTGATAAAGGGTCACACACACAGAACACACTGCAGTCCCAGAGTAGTGGAGACTGAAATCCTCATTTCAGGTGTGCTGACAGTAGAGGTGCCTAGTCTTTTCTGTGGAGTAACCCTGCTACAGTCTGGCTACAGTCTCATCTGATAAATCCCCTCTCCATTTCAAGGGCAAGGAATTTAACAAGCCTCCTGGCAGATTGACATCATCAGAGCCTCTCCCTCAGCTAGATGTTATGCTAATGGTGCAGCTACTCTCCATGTCAAGATGGTTTAATGTCTCCTCAGTCTTGGTCCTCACTTTGAAGGGCTTCAAAAATTCCCATGGTTAGCCTGGGGACCTGAGAGTTTAGAGAGCTCCCAAGTGGGTTATCAATAGGCCAACAAATATTGTGCTTGCATTCCAAGACCCGTGTTGTCTTCTAGCAACACTGAGTTAGCTGGGGCTTGGGTTTGTTTAATAAGCAGAAAAACAAACAAACAAACAAAACCCAATCAAACAAGAAAATAAATTGAACATGTTCTCCAGATCAAGGCTGCTTTGCAGAATGGTGCAAAGACATTTTATCACATTTATACTATGCCAGAAGCCCAGAGGGAAGGAATGAGCACCACATATTGTAAGAGCAATCTTCAAACATTTTTATGTATGCTTTATTCCTGAAGGAGTTTTTACACCATATTTTACACAAGCTCCTTTCTCTCCTGATTTCCATTGATACAGGTTGACAGAAGGGGCAGGGGAAGAAGAAATGAAGTCAAGATCCAGTGACAAGAATTCATGGGCAATTGTTTATAGCTAGACAAGGAATGCCCATAGGAATAATGCAATATGTTCACCCATCCCTTGGCTACCATCACTGGGAAAGAGGGCTTTTTTCCTCAGCCTAGTTAAGCACACAGGGGATATCAGTTAGATCCCCTCTGAAATAAAAGGCAAGTAGTTGCTGCCAATGCAGTGTAACTTGGAAGCACACAGCTGAATTCTCAGAGACAGCTGGGGGGGAAAGGGACAAAGTTTTCCTCAACTTCTAAATCTACTCCTGACATGGAAAGAGATACATCAGTAGACATCACTGAGCTCAGCTTCTACAAAGCTCCCAGCACCTCATTAAACCCTGCTGCTGTTATCAAAAAGAGATGCACATCAGCACAGACATTAGGGGAATGTGGTTGCTGTACCAACGATGTAAAACACTTACACATCACTTTGAACCATTTTGGTGAAAGCTTGACATAGGTAGAGTCCCATGTCTGACTCAGGAAGAACAGCACCATGGTGAAGAAGTTGTATTGTTTTCTTATTCCCAGAAACAGTAGCAACTGTAAGAGGGCTCCTAGGGCATCCAAGAGATAAGAGTAAATACATCAGCTTTTGCAAACACTGCCTAGCCAATACTTTAATTCCTCTTTGCTCCTCAAACCATTCATTTCCCCTCTCCTACAGGCAGAGTAAAGGCACAACCAAATGTCTGCAAGTGCTGGAGAATTCAGATTGGTGGGACCTCAGGAGATCTCCTGGACAACCACCTTCCCAGAGCAGACTCAGGGCCTGTGCGCCTGTGAGTGCATGCACAAGTTGGTGTGTGCTTTCTTGCAGTCCTCAGCATGGAAATCACCTCCTGAAGAAGGGGAGCAACCGAGCCTGGGTCTGCTTTCACAGGTCACACAGGAGATCCTTCTGGTCAATTCCTTTTTCAAAGTTCATTTTTATGCCTCACATCAATCCAACTTGAACAGCGCTAAGGAGTCCCACATGCACTTTTGGAAAACCCTTTACCTATAAATATTATCCTGAGCATTCACATCAGCTCCCTTTTGAAGAAGGAACTTGACCGTTTCTTCACAGTTTTCAGTGACTGCAAGAGTAAGCGGAGTGTATCCGAACTGAAAGGAGAAATCATCTCCCTTAGAATAACAGAAAGAAGTAGAGCAAGTTGACTTGGAAAGAGCAGCTTTACCTAAAGTCCAAGCTTACTTTATTCTTAGCATTGATATCTCCACCATGCTCAAGTAACAGCTCCACGAGAGATTTGCTAGAAACCATGACAGCAAAGTGAAGGGCAGTGTTACCATTTACATCTCTGTGGTTGTGGTTGGCACCGTGTTCCAGCAGAATAGCTGCACAGTCCTTGTGCTGGTGCTCTACTGCCTGGAAACAAGACACAAAGGAGGAATAACTTCCAACATCTATATTTCTCACTGTCAGAACTCCCGCACCTTCCCAACACTGGAAAGTATGAGCATCATCAAAAATTAGAGAACATATGCCCCTTCTGCATACCTTCATTAGTGGTGATTTATTCAATTTGTCACAAGGATTTAGCTTGCACTTCTTTTCTACCAGAAACTGAACAACATCTGCATGGCCATTTATGCAAGCAAGATGCAGAGGAGTCCTAGAAATGAAACATACACTGTTCTCCTGGTTTTAGTCCAGCTGGCAATTAAGCACCACGCAGCCACTCGCTCACACCCTCTCCCTCCCCACCCCAGTGGAACAGGGAGGAGAATCAAAATGAAAACTTTAAATAACAATTAAATCATAACAGATTGATAAATAGAACAAAGGAAATAAAATCAATATTTTAATAATAATAGCAAATAAAAAATCCAAGAAAAATCTGTGATGTACAATACAGCTGCCCACAACCCACTCACTGATGCCAAATCCCATTCCAGAATGTTGACCTGGCTAAGCTCTCTCCAGCTTTTTGTGTACTTTCTCACTGGCCAAGCATGAGACACTGAAAATGTCCTTGTCTTACGGTAAACACTGCTTAGCAATGGAGGCTGTGTAAGTCTACAGAGTGCAGAACCAGTGTGAGCCCCCAAGTCCCCCCTGCTTCCCCCCCGATCAGTCCTGCACCAGAGACAGATGGGATGGGATTTCTGACAGCACTGGAAAGGCTGAGCTGGCTTTCTGTGAATCCATGTCCTGCTAAACCAAGCTACTCAGTCTGGTACCTGGAAAGGAGATGTCTCTGCTTGAGTGAAGGCCTGATGAGCTCCACAGAATCATCATATCTTAATATGGGTTGGGTTGGGTTGGAAGGGACCTTAAAGACCATCTAGTTCCAATCCCTGCCATGGGTAGGGACATCTTCAACTAGACCAGGTGGCTCAGAGCCCCATCCAGGCTGAACACTTGGATAAACAGGGATGGGACAAGACAAAGATCAAGTACAGGGGCCAGGCTCCCGAGCAGCGCAGGGCAAGCCAGAGCAGAGCAGGGTTTTCGCTGTCTCCTACTCCAGCTCAGGCACGGCTGGTGCTCTGGGGCTGGCCCTGCTGCCAGGCACAACACAGGGCTTTGCTGGCTCTTCAGTGTGGTTGTGTTCTCTGCAAAATTTAGTTTGTTACCTTGTATTCAGCAAGCCAAGAATTGCACACTTGAGGGAGACACTGATTATGTGTTTCAGAGTTACACATGCCTGGGTGCTCAATGGTATTTCATAAATAAAACACACCCTGCCAGACTTTCCATGGTTTTATTTATACATAGAAGTTCAGAATTAATAACTTTCCAAGTATAGCCCCTCTACTATGATTGGTTAATAGTCTCCATACAAGTTATGGAACCACAGCTAACTTCTATGCATGCTTAGGGGAGGGGTCTTCACCTTGGCAGGGATCTTTTTAACCTGTAGGTGTGATTTTTAGTATTATAATGAAGACAATACAGCTATAGCATAGAAGGACTTTGAGTCTTTTGCCAAACTGGTAATGTGTATACATAGAAATACATCAACATCTTGATTTACTACAGCCTTTACACATATTCCTTCACTAAGGGATGCTTCTGCTGTCTGTTCTACTGGCACAACAATATCTTGATTTACTACATCCTTAATGCTTGTTAGTTCCAGGATGTCCTTGGCTAAGAGATGCTAGCTGCTGCCTGTTCCACTGATTGTCTCTTTTCTTGATGCTTACGCTTGAAAGCAGGCAAAATACATACATTAAAAAAACCCCGCCCTGACTCAGATAATTTTGACAAATTCCACATTTTGAACAGGCGGAGGGGCTGCTGTTTGTGCTTACTGCTTGTCCGGGTTGTAGCCATTGATGCGGTGCTTGTTCAGCCACCAGTGCTGCCGCAGCCGGGCCAGGTCCGCGCTGGCGGCCGCGGCGTGCAGGTCCACCAGCACCATGGCTCGGGCCGGGCCCAGCACGCACAGGAGGGGCCCGGCACACACAGGAAGGGCCCAGCACGCACAGGAGGGGCCCGGCCGCCTCTGCCCAGCCCCGGGCGGGGACGGGGAGCGGCTGTGGGGACAGGAGCCGCAGGGACCCGAGCCGGAGGTACGACAGGTCCGGGCGGTGCCGTGGAACGCGGGCCGGCGTCACAGGCGGCGGGCCCGGGACACCGCGGCCTGGGCACGGGGACAGAGCGGCCTGGGGTGAGGGGTGATCGCAGCGCTCCGGTCAGCCCCACACTTCCTCCTCTGGGGAAACTCTGAAGAAGTGTGTGCTATAACAATGAAGAATGTTAGCCCAGATGAAAATAAATAAATCAATAAATGAGTAACAGAAGTGACGTACGGCTGGTTCCCAGGACACTGTTTTCCCCTCGGCAGACAGTGTCCTGGAGGTAATCTGTTCAAGTTTCCCGTAAGCCAAGGGCAGGCTTCTGAACAGGAGGCAGACTGGAAGTCTCCCATGGTTTACCATATCCTAATCCCAGCGATCAATAGTTAACTGCATTTCTATCCTCTTCAATCCATTGATCATTTTATGTTAAAACATTAGCTAATTAATGACTACCTTTGAACACCAGAGTTAGAGTCATTAAGTTCATTTTAAATAAATCAATAACAGAGACAAAATTCCTGTTGGCTTGGGCAGCCTTTAAAAGAGGTAATTTAGAAAATGAGTTTTCAATGGCTCCATTCTAGCAGTTGGCAAGAACTCAAAAAATAAGCTGAGCCTCAACTTAGGCCATAAACACTTCTGTAGAAACACTAAGGTAAGATTTTCAAGGGAATTCAGCACCCCAAACTCCCAGCCTTTTTAAAAGTCTGCCTACTCTTTTGGCACTAAAATACCTCACTTCTGAGGCAAAAACCCTGAGCCCTCTATCACGAGCGGGAGGGCAGCTGTTCACTACATGTGCACAGACAAAGAGAAAACGAAGAAAAAGTCATTTTATGCAATGATTTTACATTTCCTCTTCTATCTATTAGGAAAAACGGTGGATGGCAGGTGGAAAAAACTGCAAGGACAGAAAATAAAATTTTAGGGAAATGCTAATATTCAATATATACACTGATCTATTTTCTTTTTTTTTCACCTAAAAGGTCATTGTAAGGATTATAATAATGCAAACAAAAGATTAAAGTCTTGATTGCTTTAATACCTAACTGCTAAATCCTGTTAATAGGGAAAATATGCTTTTCCTAATCCTTTTCATGCCTGATTTTCAAATTATATGGTAAAAATTCATCACAGCCAAATGCAAGGGCCCCCACTGATGGACAGGAATGAGTTAGGCCACTGGTAGTTTATAAAATAATTCCCTAGCAACTTACCATCAAGGAACAATTTATATTCACAAATAATCAGGAGCCAGATTTTGACTACCTAGATAAAAGTCAGAGCCCTTAACTGTGAAGTATTCTTTTGAGCCTCAAAAGAAGGCATGGACTTTGGATGCTAGCTTCTCAAAAGCTTGAAGAAGAGACAAGACCACAGAGTCTTTTCCTTGCTTGGGTTAATCCTTCACCAGTTACACCAGCAGAAGTTGTTCTTGTGGATGTGATAGAATCACTTTTAGGGATTGTATCAGCAAGCAGTATAGAGAAATACACCCCACTGCAGTGGCTGTTATTCTGTGTCCCCTAGAGCCAGAGTCAGAGGGTCACCCAAATGTAGTCTTGTTTCACTGAATGCCATAAACAGTGTTGCAATAATTATTCAGATTGGAGGCAATTCCGTTCATTCAATCTTGCATTTAATTCATGCAGCCTAGTCTAGAGCACATCTTTTCAAATGTTGTGTTTGGTGCTATCCCAGCACACTGTCCAGCCAGCATTCTGAATTAAGCAGGCTAATTAAAATAACAGGTACTCTTAATGCCTCCTCATGATTTCTGCAGGTCACATGGTGGTTTTCTGCTGCAAGTAATTGTTTTGTTGCAGGGAGATAGACACCTGAAGTGGCACAGGCCATTCCACCTGATTGGTAGCACACTGGTCATTAGCATGACTTGAAAGCATTTCAATGTACAAATAACAGGATACTGCTGTCAAACCTCCAGCATAGTCACTGGGTATTGTGTAAGAACATAGGCTCTTTCATATTTAGCATGTGGCAAAAAAAAAAAATCTCACAAACCTACTGTATGTAAGGTTCCTTGATTCTAACAGTGCATCCCATCACCAATGTTTGCCAGTATTCACTGGTGTTGCTCAAAGAAAGCAGCAGGGTTTGCTCCCAGTCGTCACCTGAGTCTCTTAGTGATTGTTAGATTTCATCCTGCTTGATGAGCAGATTAGCTCTGTGCATTGGAATTACTCTACACTTTTGATCAGAGAATTTATGTATTATTCTCAGAGCATCAGAAGTAATCAATTCCATGGTTTTTTGCCCTTTTATCCCTCACCTTTATCCTTCTTCACCTCATTCCAGAAACACATTTCCTTCTGAAATTTTCACCCTGAGTTCTACTGGGACCATCCAGTACCAAGCTCATAAAGACAGCACAGTATCCGCCTTGATATTTGTCTTCATTATAGACAAAACTAAGATGACTGTTTAGTATTTTTCATCACTTGCATACCAATAGAGTACCAGTTCTTGTGTATTAGCTCCTAGGTGTTTTCATCTGCCTTCTTTATTTACATTTCTTCCCAGGTTTTTGAATTATCTGATCATAGTAACTGTGCAGGCTGGGACGCCTCTATTCCAGGCCTCCCTGAGATGCACAAGCATTGGAAAATGCTTGCTCTCAGGACATGGCCTGTTGCATACTCCTCTATGCAACTCCTTTGCTGCTAACTACTTCTTGTCTCTTCCAACAACTTCTGTTTAAGGAGGAACTTCCATCATGTGCTTATCTCCATGGTTTGTAGCTTAAAGAACATTAGCTCCCTAACATTGCTGGTGGGATAAATACTGCAATTGCCTTTCAACCAAGAAACAGTACCAAGAAGAAAAGCTCACAGAAGCTGGCAGGGAGGGAGATTACAAACCTCCTCAGGGCCAGGTCACAGTCTCACAGCACTTTCCTTCCACCAGTGTACAAGAAAGACATTTTGGCGAGGAAGTGTCACTACCACAAGACACTTTCCTATCTGGGTCCCTTTCTTCCTATAGACAACCCTGTGAAAACCATCTTTAAGAAAACACTCCAATAAAGTTAGGACACAAGTTATTTAGGTAAAACTGGCAGTACTGAGCTGTTGCAGGACACTGGAGGCATGGCTGTCTGGCTGCAGACATCCAGGTGGGGAAGTGGTGGGAGAACAGGGACAGCCATGCATGGGTGGGGCTGTGCCTGCTGCCCCCTGTGCGTGTGTGGCCAGCCCCAGAGCCCACGCTGCCAGGACCAGCCTGGCTCTGCTGGTAGCGCAGGAGCAAGATTCCAGTGCTGGAATTAGCATAAGTTTGCCTGACAGAGGACCACGGGCATAATAAATAATAAAACTCAGCATAATTTTACTGTTGAACTTGACTTTTTTTTTTTCCAAACGAAACTATTCTATGAGAATCATTCTATGATGAAGTTATATTTATGAGGGCTTATCACATAAACCCTGCTCAATACTCACAGGCCTTTTGTGAGCTATGCTCCCTTTCATCTGCATTTTGTCTTTCCTCTTCTTTGGGTGGGTGGTTGAGATGAAGTGACTCACCACTGGACGCCTTGGAATATCTTCAGCAGACAGAAAGAAAGCTAATTTAATTTAAAATGACAGGAACAGTAGGTCTACCTGTCCAATCTGATTTATTAGTGTTCCCCTGCCAACTAATTTGGATAAGATTCCAACCACATGAGCACCTTCATGTGCTTGGTCTCCTACAGACATTTAAGAAGATTGTCCTTTCTATGGATTTTGTCATATGTGACGAACATAGTGAATTCCCTTTACTCCTTTTTTTCCAGTTGATCCTTAAGAGATGGAGCACACAATTAATTAGGGAGATCTAAAAAAGAGCAAAGATAAAGACTGGTTTGAGTCAACTTTCTCTGAAAAATTTTTTTCTTCCCTGGAATTATGTCTGATAGAAAGGTTTCTTATAAAGAAAATTCACAACAGACCCAAAGGGGGATACTAAAAGGGTGGGCAGGATGTGCCTTCAAACATCCCTAATTCAACAATTGAATGTTGCGCAATGGAAATGGACTGCAGAAAATGGAAAAGTTATTACCATGCAAACCTGTAAAACAGTACTGCCATTGTCATTAAGAAAGCAAAAGCTTTGTACTGACCTCGTTAAGCCTCAGAGGAAGGGTTTTCCCTAGATGAGCTTTCCTTGACCTCTACAACCTGCACAAGGTAGACAAGCTGGAGCCAGCCAAACCTGGCTTTAGGGGTAACTGAGAGAACAAAGAGGGAGTACTTCTAAACACATGTAAAATGCATCATATATCATATATTCAGATGTAATGTGGAGCTGCAGAGCAATCAAAAAGAGTAAGGTGTGAAAATATGTTAGTAAATACATAAATGTGGCCCCATGTGTGTCTTGAAATGAGGGAGGGGAAAACACCACCATGAACATCCTGTGCTTCCAGATGTTGGCAGTGGGCCGAAGCTCTCCCTTCACTACCAGCCACCAAAACAAAACCATCAACCTTAGGATCCAGAGGAGCCAGGAAAGAGTGAGGCAGAAGGGGTCTAGAAACTAAACAGGGTGAGAATAATAATTGTAATTGTATAGCTATCATTATTATATTATTATTGAAGCATTTTTCTTTCTTATGTAATTATTAGATCTGAACTATTATTTGCTTCTTGGATTAGACTGTTAATATTTCAACCACACCAGCAATACATTCTTCTTTTATATACATTTCTTCTAAAATTTCCTCTGTCCTATACACTCCCTATCCCTTCTTTATTCTTTGCTCCTCCAATTGCACCATCCAGAGTGGTGGCTGCACTGAAAATGAACCAATGTGAAATACAGTTTTTTTCCAATGATTTGG